TTATCTCTCCGCCGATGACGTTAATCCGGTGTGGATATGGCCCATGTCCGAATACCCAGAATGGCCCGTGGTGGACTCGCTGACGTGGGTGAAATGGAATATCCTCTGGGACGGGGGCAAAGAGGGAAAGTGAGATTGTTTTTGTGTGGATTAAAAAAAAAGAGGGAGTGGATAGGAGGGTTTGGTTAGTTTTTGTTTGTTTGTTTGTTGTTGCAGGTGAAAGGGGCAAATTGAGTTTTTTTTTATTTTATTTATTTATTTTTTATATTTATATTTTTTTTTTAGGAATAGGGCACTATGGCTTTGTTTATTTTTTATTTTATTTTTTTTTGTTGATTATGCAAGCACGAACTACCTTTTTTTTCTCTAGATTTTTGTTGTCGTTGCTGTCATTGTCATTGTTGTTGCAAAATAGAGCTACCATCTTGCTTTTTTCTTCTTCGTTAAATTCTATTTTTTTTCTTCTTTTCTTCCTTTCTCATTAGTATACGTATCTCATTAAGGCAGTGATGCAAGCAGGGGGGGGAAACCAGCTGTCTTTACAATGAACACGAGAGCGCCTCTTTTCCCCCGAGGGCCTGCTAGCGTGTGGATTAAGGGGGTGGGGGGGTGGGGGAGGAAGAAGGAATAGGAAGAGGGGGAAGGAAGAAGAGGAGGGGAAGAGGTGGAGAAGGAAGAGGAAGAGGGGGAAGGAGGAAGAGGAGGAGAAGGAGGAGGGGGGAAGAGAAGGAAGAAGAGAGGAAGGGAGACGGGTGAAGGAGGAGAAAGAGGAAAAGGAGGAGGGGGAAGAGAGAGAGAGAGAGAGAGGAGAGAGAGAGAGAGAGAGAGAGAGAGAGAGAGAGAGAGAGAGAGAGAGAGAGAGAGAGAGAGTGAGAGGAAGGGGAGAGACGGGTGAAGGAGGAAGAGGAGGAGGGAATGAGGGAAGGGGGGAGAGGAGGAGGAGAGAAAGAGAAAGAGAGGAATGAGATGATCGGAGAAAGGAGAAGAAAGAGAGAAGAAGGGGCCAGAGGCAGGGGGGGAGGGGGCAGGGTATGGTTAGAGGAAGCGGGGGGGGGGGGGGAGATTTGTGTATATTGGTTTACCCTCACAGCTGTCCCAGGGGGTTTCTAATTAACATCTTCCACTTGCCCAGTTCACAGGAAGTTCTGGAGAAGAAAAAGGAGTAAAGACGAAAAAAAAGAAAAAAGAAGAAGAAACAAAAAGCGAAGTCTGTTTTTTTGGGATTGAGAGGTAATTTGGTTGTTTGGTTTACTGACTGGGTTGAGAGTAAATGGGCTATTGTCTGGATGGTTGACTGACTTGTTGGATGGATGATGGCTATTGGTTGTGACTGAATTGTTGGATGGATTGGTTGACTGATCTGTTGAATGGTTGACTGACTTGTAGGATGGAAAGTTGACTGGTTGACTGATCTGTTAGATGGTTGACTGACTTGTAGGATGGAAAGTTGACTGGTTGACTGATCTGTTGGATGGTTGACTGACTTGTAGGATGGAAAGTTGACTGGTTGACTGATCTGTTGGATGGTTGACTGACTTGTAGGAGGGAAAGTTGACTGGTTGACTGATCTGTTGGATGGTTGACTGACTTGAAGGATAAATAATTAATTGACTGATCTGTTGGATGGTTGACTGACTTGAAGGATAAATGGTTGACTAATTGACTGATCTGTTGGATGGTTGACTGACTTGAAGGATAAATGGTTGACTAATTGACTGATCTGTTGGATGGTTGACTGACTTGAAGGATAAATAATTAATTGACTGATCTGTTGGATGGTTGACTGACTTGAAGGATAAATAATTAATTGACTGATCTGTTGGATGGTTGACTGACTTGAAGAATAAATAATTAATTGACTGATCTGCTGGATGGTTGACTGACTTGTAGGATGGGTGACTGATCTGTTGAATGGTTGACTGACTTGTAGGATGGAAAGTTGACTGGTTGACTGATCTGTTAGATGGTTGACTGACTTGTAGGATGGAAAGTTGACTGGTTGACTGATCTGTTGGATGGTTGACTTGAAGGATAAATAATTAATTGACTGATCTGTTGGATGGTTGACTGACTTGAAGGATAAATGGTTGACTAATTGACTGATCTGTTGGATGGTTAACTGGTTGACTGACTTCTTTGCTATTTGGATAGATGGTTGACGAAGTATCTGGATAGACGAATAACATAGACATTTCTTAACGTGGCTAGACAGATAGATTCCCCGACTGAATATATAAACTGACTTACCTTGCCTGAACGATCCTCACGGCTGACTTAGCAAGATGACTAACTTGACTGAACGACTGGTCGCGTATTTAACTGATTTGACTTAAAGCCAACTCGATGGGCTTGCTTGGCATTTGTCTTAATAATCCGACGCTCGTGATGTCAGCAGAGAGCAACATGAAAGGGGAGTGGTTCCTGTAGCTTGCAACAACTGGAGGTGATTGAACGCTAATCAGTCAGGACCTGTTGACGTTGCAATTCGCCCGCGTGTTCGTTTGTAGTCGCGTGTCAAGGCGTTGGAGGGAGGATCATTGCGCCAGGGCCATATGGTTGGTGGGTCTCTCTGTATCTCTCTCTCTCTCTCTCTCTCTCTCTCTCTCTCTCTCTCTTTCTCTTTTTTTTTTCTCTCTCTCTCTCCGTATGTTCTCTTTCTCTCTCTTTCTATATCTTGTCTCCTTTTCTTTTGTTTCTCTGTCTCACTCTACTTTTCTTTGTCTTTTTTTTTCTCTGTCCCCATATGTCTCTCTCTTTCCTTCTTTGTTTCTATATTTCTCCGTCTATATCTCTCTGTTTCTCCCTCCCTCTTTCCGCCCCCTCCTTCCTCCGTCTTTACCTTTGTTTGTTTGTTTGACTTAGCGAAAAGATGTACGTTGAGGGGGGAGGGGGTGAAAACACGTCTTTAAGGAAACTTTAAATACCGAAATAACTGGAGCTTCGGTGCTTGTGGCTTGGCATTGTCTTCACCCTCGCGCTGGCGTAGTCGCATAGAGCTCGTATGTCAGCGGTAAGCAAACCATAGAGGGGGAGGGGGGGAAGGAAGAAGAAGGGAAAGAGAGATGGAGCAGAAATTAAGGTATGAGAGAGAGAGGGGGCGAACGGAGGAGAAGGGAAGAGAGAGAGAAGGGTAGGAGAGGGAAGAGAGGTAGAAGGAAAGACAATGGGAAGGGGAAAGAAGGGGAGAGAGAGGAATAAAGGAGAAGGGAAGAGCAGATGAGAGAAGAAGAAGAAGAGAGAAAGAAAGAAGGAAAAAAAGAGCTTGGAGAAAGAGGATCAGAGAGAGAAAAAGATGAACAAATCGATTGATAGTTAGGTACGCAGAGAGAGAGACAGAGACAGTGAGACAGAAAGATAAAGAGACACAAAGAAACAGAGACAGACTGAAAAGAAAAGAGAAATCAAACCAAGGAAGAAGGAAATTCGCAATCGATAAGCAGGTAAACTAAATATACGACACGATGCCCCTTTGTACAAGATCTTTGTGAATGAAAGATGATCCTCTACACGAAGGTACCCAGACAGTGCCAATGGAAAGAGACAGGCACTGGCATCAGCTCACCCCCATGCCTCTCACCCTTAATGGAAGAGAGAAGAGTATATGAGGGTTTCAGGGTAGCCATGCAAATCACGTGGAAGGCACACAGGGACGGGGTTAACTCCAGTGCTTGAGAGAAAGGAGGTCTTTGCTTTTGCTGTTGGCAAGGGGTAGGGAGGGAGGGAGGGGGTAGGGGTGTGTGGGGGGCGAGGAAAAGGGGGAGGGGGAGGGGGAGGGAGGGAGGGATAAGGGGGAAGGAGAGCGCAAGCAAATATCACGTGTGCTTTCGAAAGTGTCTTCGTAAACAGTAAAAAGATATGCAAATAAACAGTCACACCAGATATATTTTTCTTCCTCTCTCTCTCTCTCTCTCTCTCCCTCTTTTTCTCATACCTCCACTCAAGCCTTTCTCTCTCCCTCCTTCCCTCCCTCCCTCCCTCCCTCCCTCTTCCTCCCTCTCTCCCTCCCTCCCTCCCTCCTTCCCTCTCTCCCTCCCTCCCTCCCTCCCTCCTTCCTTCCCTCTCTCTCTCTCTCTCTCTCTCTCTCTCTCTCTCTCTCTCTCTCTCTCTCTCTCTCTCTCTCACTCTCTCTCTCTGCCCCCACTTCCCTATTCCCTATACGCGACCTCCCTATCCCTCCCTCCCTCCCTCCCTCCCTCCCTTTAGCATGCAATCACTCACTCAATTCGTTAATTATCAGTTTATCGTACCCATCTACATCTATTTGTGTTTCACGTTCTTCACCACACCCATTCCTCCTCTCCCTCTCCCTCCCCTCTCTCCCCCTCCTCCACCACCACCACCACCCTCTCCCCCTCCTCCACCACCATCCTCTCCCCCCCTCCTCTTCCTCCTCCTCCTCCTCCACCACTACCCTCTCCCTCTCCCCCTCCCCTCTCCCCCTCCCCCCTCCATCACCAATCGTATCGCGAAATACCACGTACGAGCCGAGAAACGTAAACACAAATCAATCATTTTAATTGATAGCGGAGGAGGAGGAGGAGGAGGAGGAGGTGGTCGAGAGCTTATCTGCAGCCGTACCTGGAGGAGGAGACATGAAACCTGATGGGGGGAAGCTGCTGGAGGAGGAGGTGGGAGAAGAAGGAGGGGGAGAGGGACAGGAGGAGAAGGAGGAGGAAGGGGGAGCAGGTGGAGGAGGAGGAGGAGGAGGAGAGGGAGCAGGAGCAGGAGGGGGAGCAGGAGGAGGAAGAGGAGAAGAAGGAGGTGGAGGAGGAGGAGGAGGGGGAGAAGAAGAAGAAGAAGGAGGAGGAGGAAGAGGAGGAGGAGGAGGAGGGAGGCGTCGTCGAAACAAGAAGTCGGGTATTCGGAGGCAGAAGTTCGATAAAGCAGGAAGGAGGAGGAAGGGAAAAAAAAAGTTTAATGACGCAAGAAAGAGATTGCGTTCAGTTTGAGAGAAAGAGAGGGTCTTTTTGCATTAGTGTGTCGATGAGTGATGTGATCGCTTTTGATTTATTTATCTTATTTGTTTATTTTTAGATTTTATAGAGTCACAGTGACGTTTCATTGGCGCTGGTGTGGGGCATTAATGAATATAAGTATATATACAG